GGCGTTTTTAAAAAGTCCTGATTTTTGGAAAGAATGCACGACAAGCTAGGGTATATGGTTTTCGGCTGCCATGTGGCTATTTGCCAGGATATGAGTTTTATCAATGGTGTCCCGCTTTACCAATGTTAAAATCTGGTCACCTTAATCTACAGCAGAATGCCACTTTTCCACCCCAAGAGACAGAGCCTATCCTGAGATGATCTGGTGCCACAACACCAGTGGTGCTTGGGAAATGGGTTTGCTATGCTTCCACCAGGTCTTGCATATGCTTGTACTTCCACAGGTGACGACGCACCTTTGCGGATTCCTCTTCAAAGAGTGCAACCCCATGTAGAAAGGTATGGGGAAGGGAAATCGAGGAAAAGGAGAAATCACCCAATTCTTTTAACCCTGATCCCAAGTTTCTTGCTACCCAAAGGGCAGGACTAGGCTTTGTGTTTTCACGGGGAATGGACCACAGCCGAGACAAAGAGCTCTTATTGCAAATAGTATCAGAAATGTTCAGAGAGACCTTGCCTGTCTGTCGGGATGATAATTGCCACCAACCTGGCTTAAAAGCCATTGCCACCACCACTGCTGTCACCAGAGGGCATTACAGGTGTCCATCAGAACTGAACATTTTATGCAGAAATGGCAAGATGATTGCTATCAGCTGTGGGCCACTCAGTCTAAGGTGGATGACCAATTGGAAGGGAAAGGGTGTGAGCTACCTCACTGTTCAGTGTTTGGGAGACCAGACGTGCACTGGCATTGCCGATGGATGCTGAAATGTGACTGGAACATTCCAGATTTTTGCATCACCTGTGTATGAATAATGAAACCTTCCATGATGGGTCCTTAAACAGACACCATACTGCCAGGATATAAGGGGAACATATCATTAAATATTAAACGGCTAACGAAAGAGATTTTCAATGCATTAGGGATGGCTTAGAAAGATCATCCAACACTCGCATGATTAATCAATTGGTGGGTGGGATAGAGGGGCCTGATTTCAGTTTTAGGCATGGCGTGCTTTCTGGTTGGGTGATATGACTTGCTGTCATGGGTGTTATTTTTTCAGTATTGTGGTCTTTTTACAGAAGGATCTGAAGTATACAGAGCGGCCGTGTCATGTCTGTAACCTTCTTGAAGTTAAAACATAAGACAAGAGGGGGGAATGTGGGAAACGGAGGACCCGGAAGAAAGAATAAGTCGCCCTGCTAGCTGCACTCTTGACCACAGGCCTTGGTACGCCTGGCACTAGTGCTGAGGCACACTTCCATGGTGCAGACACAAAGGAGGGCGCACCAAAGCGCATCCTCACTCATATCGGACTTATGGATTTGAGTTGGACAGAGCTGGGGTGTTGCTTGATAGACTTCTAGCCCACACATATATCAGAGTCACTAGTGCAGTGGTTACTATGGAAACCTCTGGAGACTTTAACGTGAGCAGCTGTACTATCAAAACCAGCGGTTCTCAACCTTTCTCATGCCGCAACCCTTTCATACAGTTCCTCGTGGTGGTGACCCCTCCACCCATAACATTTCCGTTGCTACCTCATCACGGTCATTTTGCTGCTTGCTATTATATGAAGCAGAAGATACAACAGTGTGTATGAGATTACATGTTTTCTCTCATCCGTTACTCCTCTCGTTGCTCTTGAAACGGTGATTCTCCTGGACTTGCTGTCTGAAAGGCAGTGGCAATACCACTTAGGCTCCTATAATTGAAGTTTGATTATGGCTAGACACCAGATATACAACAGCTGACTAACTTAAATCGAAGCCAAACTAAAGATGGAGAGCTAAAAAAAATTAAAATAAATAAAAAAGATGTAGCGCTATCTCTTAGGAGTAAAGAAATTCTATTTCTGAAATAGAAACTTTAACGTTTACAAATTGCCAAAACTTTAATAGCAACTTCCTCTGCTCCCAAAGCTCTTTGATGACGGAAGTCAGCATTTCAACGTGTCCCTGCTTCGATAAGCCCTAGGCCTAATGTCTGCATAGAGAACACAGCAGGCCCTGGCCCTGGTGGCATGGTACCTAAAGGCTGGCAGCTGACCCTCGGACACAGAGCAAAGACACACCACTTTAGGAAGGTCTGGGAATACTGAGGCTTCCTGTGCTGATGCACCAACAGTCAGGGTGGCTGGGGCTTTACAGGGAACGTTTCCAGAGGTTAGCCTCAGAGTGGTTTGGGGGCAGTTGCAAGGACTTGGGTTTCTTTTGTTGGGATACTCTTTGCAGTGGGGAAGTGAGCTTGTTCATTCTAGGCAGTGGAGGGGCAAGTTGGTTTGTTCTAGATTCAGGGGCAAATCAGATCTTCTCTTTCAAATGTAAGGCCGGCCGTGCAAACTCAGGAGCTGCTTGTCAGGGGAAAGGTGAGGCTTTCTATGCTACAAGGGGGTGAGCTTTGGAACCCCCAGGGCAGTTATACCTGTTCTACAGCACCCCCAATTCGTCATTGACCCCCACACCAGTGTACTTCTTTTAGGAATGTCCTAGGACCCGGCAGTGTGAGTATTCCTTTTGGTTTTGTCACAAGATGTCGCTGCAATCGATGCTCAGCTGCATGTTTCCCCGTGTCTGCAGCAGCGCAGCCCCTTCCCAGTGTTCTGCAGGCCCCCATCCTTGTGTTCCAGGGTGTTTCCCTCGCCTCATTGCATGCTCTGCCTTCTGCCCTCCCTCCCAGATCGACTGCTCTCCCAGTGCCCAGCCTGTGCCCCTAGCACAGAGCTGTCTGGACCCAACGGAGCTGTAAGACTAGGTTCAATTACAGGGCATATAGCATGACCCTGGGTGTGGTGATGGGTTAAGCCAGGTGTTCTCAACCTGGGGGGGTCTAACGACCCTTTCACAGGGCTTGCCTAAGTCCATCGGAAAACATATTTCAGATGGTCTTAAGAAGAAAACACCACTCCTCTATTGTCTCCAGGCGGGTCCACCCACATGCAGCTACGCTCACCTACGAGTACCGGCTGGCATGAAGACTGTTACCCATGGTACACCATGCTTCAAGACAGCATTTAATTTGTCACTAGAAATAATTATTTCACAATATATAGTGACATATTGTTTCTGTGGTTCATCACCATGCTTCCATGATGTTCAATTTGTAAATATCTGTAGCTTATCAGATATTGACACGACGATTCATATCAGTAGGAAAATGACAGTGATGTAGTAGCAACGAATATAATTTTATAGTTGGGGGGTATCACCACATGAGGAACTGTATGAAAGGGTCACAGCTTTAGGAAGGTTGAGAACCTCTGTGTTAAGCAAATCCAATGAATTATGCCAAAATTTGAATGTTCTGTTCAATGCCCAGCCTTTATTCAGTGTAGCAACCATAAATGCATGAAGGGACAAAAGCGGAAACACGAACAATTTGTTGCCTCTCTGCACAGGCTCTTAGTGGATACTTAGCACAGGAGGGGCTCATCTAAGCTCCCCAAGCCACACTTTCAAAGTTAGCCTGTGAACATGGACTTGGCAGGAGACGCAGGACACAGAACAGATTTCAGGGGAAAGGCTTCATGAAGACCTTGGCAGTGTGAGGCAGAATGGTGTCGGCTTTCTTAGGGGACTTTTCCACAAGCTATTTCAAAAGGGGCTTATGGTTTTCTAGCCGATGAAATGCTTGCTCTCTTGGGCTACACTGGCTGGTGGAGCGGCAAATTTGGTTTCTCCAGGATTCGCGTGCAAACCAGATTTGTGTCTCTCATTCTTGTCTTTTGATGGTCCAGTAGAATCCCGGTACTGGACGACACTGGTACGCAACCCAATTGGATTTCGACGCGAAATGTTGAGAAAATTTTGCATCGGGGTGCAAATGAAACATCAGAATCTGACCCGATGCACGATTTTTTTTAAACAAAAGCAGTTCGTGTTTGAGTTTAAACCTTTTGCACCTGTGTTCCAAGCGTTTTGCTATAACTTTGTGTGGCTTTTTGTAATGTGTTTAGATAAAAAAACATGGGTCTGAACAGTTTAGCTGGTTAACCGTGTTACTGATATTGATGGTAATTTGGTAACCATGTTATTGATATTGTTGATAACTTAGACATGCCAACAGCAGACCTCATTGTGGGGAAAAAGGTCAGCCCCTCACAACTAATCGTGGGTTTGATAGGCATGTATATGCATATATATATGAAAGAGAGAGTCATAGGGAGCATGAGAGATCAAAGATCTTTGATCAAACAGATCAATGTGTATATATATATATATATATATGACTCATATATATGACTCATATATATATATATGAGTCAGGGAGCATGAGAGATCAAAGAGAGATTGAAATAATGGAGTCAGATACATTTCATGGTACCAGGCTCATCTCAGCCCCACTTGGTGATCCACATGGAGATGGCTGGCTAGAGGGCAGGAGAGGGAGAGGGGAAGGACAAGGGGGAAGGGAACAGGGGAGCGAGGACGGGGGAGAGGAAGGGGGAGCACAGAGAAGCCAAGGAGAATCTTTATTGCTAACCGAGGTGTATATACCTATGGGGGGTGTGCAAGCCCACTCATTACAGATAAAGACATACGTCACAGGAAAGGGTTGTGCTATAGGTTATACAGCAATGAAGCGGACAATCTAGGGATATACACACAATAGAAGAGGAGGGATTGGGGGTACACATGACAAGAAGGGTGGATCCTACATTCAGAATGGCAGCCTAACTCTGGATGTCACTGACCTGTTCTCAGGATCTCCATAGAAACCATTATCTGTAGGGTGTAAACCACCCACACATGGACCAAACCAATGGTCACAAGCCTTTAGGGAGAAGTAGCCCATTGTCCTTAAGGCGGATTGGGCCCTACCAGTTGTCTGGCAACTGACTGCTTCCAAGGAGGATGTCTCTACGCATCTCAATTGCCACCATATGCTGGCAAATGCCTCTAATGTTTGGCATGTCTTTGGGGGAGACGTAGCTGGGGAAAAGTCTCTTTATAATCCTAAACCACATTAGACAGATTTTTTTTTTAGAGAAAGCTAGCAAGTTACTAGTGAGAAGAGGCAAAGAAGGAAGGGGATTCCCCTTCCAATGACTGTCTCTCCATACCTCCTCTCCACATCCGTGTCCAGATCCAGATGCTTATCAATCTCGAGGTATTGGCCATTCTGTAGCTGTTACAAACTTTATAAACGGTGTTTCTTATTGTTATATTCCTTGTTTTTAATTGTTTTATTAGGGGCTCATACAATTCTTATCACAATCCATACATACATCAATCTT